ATTTCTGTACATGTTAGTTTTTCTTGGAGTTAATAACAATATTATTATTTGAGGTCTTTTCACTTTTTTCTTTGTATTTATTAACACTAGACTTGTTGAAAGTTGTTAAACCTCTTTTCAAGCTGTTCAGATGCATCCATTTTTCCCTCAGTTTTGAGGGACATGTATTGGATCCTAGTTAGGTAGTTAGGGATAGAGAAGGGTGCGTAGGCAAAGGCTGTCATAGTGCGAAACCATGAAACATAATCATCTTTCTTGTTCCTCTCAGGCTGGGCAGTTGGTTCTAAGAACAGCCCAAGTGCTGAGTGTTTAGGACAGATGCAAACAAGCCCTCCCACTCTCAATCTCTCTTCCAGGATAGGAGCAGTCCAACCAAGACAGGAGATTACCTGCTTTGATTCTTAGAGACAAGGGAACCATTTAGAAAGGCTCTGGGCAGTGTTGGGCTGCTGATCTGTAAATCAAACCAAAGATACATTCTCTAAGAGGGAGAAGACTAGGGACCCAAGGTGACCAGATGAAGAAGCCTGGGATTTCCCCTTGTCCTCTATGGTGAATGAGACATCTCCTTCCCACTCTCCAGGAGTCTGTGAATTCTTTTTGCTTTCTTTTCTTGGCTTTCAAGTAAACTTACTCTGTTTACCTGGAACATTTTCCTACCCTTTTGTTCTTTGTCAGAGAAAAGGGATCTCCCCCTAGAAGGTATTGATTTCATCTTCCTGAAAATGGAGAAGCTCCAAACCTGTCCAGATGGGCATAAGTTGCTGTCTGCACTGGGTGCATAGCTCCATCATATTTTTGTTTGTTTCAGTTGGATCTCTCTTCCCCCTTTTAAGGTAATAATGAAGTTTGAGCTCAGGGCTGCCCATTTGCCAGGCAGGCACTCTACTGCTGAAACACACCTCCAGCCCTCCCTTTTTTTCTGAGCTAGTTATTTTTGACATAGGGTCTGCCCAGGCATGTCTGGATCACAGACTATCTATTTTAGGGTTCCCAGATGCATACCATAGCATCCTGCTTCTTTCTGTAGAGATGGAATCTCATGGACTTTTCTGGTTGGGCTGGCCTGAAACATAATCCTCCAAGTCTTAGCCTCCCATATAGCTGAGGATGACAGGTGCTCACCAGTAAGCCCACCTTATGAGTCAAGAAGGGTTCTCTTGAATTTCTTTTTCCTCAGCTGGCCTTAACCTGTGATCCTACTGTTCTCAGCCTTCCAAGCAGTTAGGGTAACAGGCATGACTCACAGGTGCCTGACTTATTGCCCCTTTTGGGGGGGGGTCAGTTGTGGGGCTAGAACTCTGGGCCTGGGCTCTGTCCCTCAGCTCTTCAGCTCAAGGCGAGTGCTCTACCGCTTAAGCCACAGGGCCACTTCCGGTTTTCTAGTGGTTTTTTATTGGCGATAAGAGTCTCACGGACTTTCCTGCCCAGGCTGGCTTTGAACCATGATCCTCAGATCTCAGCCTCCTGAGTAGCTAGGATTACAGGCATGAGCCACTGGCACCCGGCTTATTGCCTCTTTTTGAAGCATACTTTCTATAGTCTGGCAGCTTCCAGAGAATATGGTGTATATGAGGTAAATTTTTTTTGACTCTACAGGTGTGAATGTATCCTTAGTATGTAATTCTTTTCTTTCTCTTTTTGGAAGCTTTTGGAATTTTCTTTTCATTTCTGGCTTCTATCTTTCATAATGCTCTATCTTGATGTGGATCGGTTTTTACCCAGTATTCTGAATATTTTGTGCCCTTTCCGTCCAGAAAGCTGTGAACCTTCAGATGGTCACAATTTTCTTGAATTTTTTAATTACTTTCTTATTATCAAGGTGATGTACAGAGGTCTTGAAATTTTTGGCTGATAGCTTTCGCTCTCTCTCTCTTTACAGTCAGATTTTTATGGAGTTTCTATTACTTGGATGGTGGACCTTCTGAATGGCACTACCAGTCTTCCTCATTACTCTTTTCCTCCTTCTCCATCTCCTCTTCTTCCTCTTCCTCCTTCTTCTTCTGGTGATACTGGGGCTTGAATTCAGGTCCTGTACTTGGTAGTCAAGCATTTCACCACTTGAGCTGCAACTCTAGCTCTGTTTAGTGTTTATTTTTCAGATAGAATTTCATTTTTTTCCTGGATTCTCCTACCTCTGCCACCTGCCAAGCTGGGATTACAGGCTCAAGACACCACATGAAGCATAGGTTATGGTCCCATTTTTGCCTGGGCTGGTCTAAAAGTACAATTCTCCCATATCCATGTCCTGTGCACAGTTGGGATTACACCTATGCCCAGCCCTTTGTTTAGCTTTTTTTTGTTCCACTTCCTTCACCATTGTATCTCATCCCATATCTTTTACTGTTTTTCTTTTCTTCTGGCATGCTTTTAATTTTCTTTTCTTTTTTTTTCTTTTTCTCTTATTTTTCTTGCCAGTTGTAGGGCTTGCACTCTGGGCCTAGGCGCTGTCCCTCAGCTCTTCAGCTCAAGGCGAGTACTCTGCCACTTGAGCCACAGCGCCACTTCTGATTTTCTGGTGGTTTATTGGAGATAAGAGTCTCACGCACTTTCCTGCCTGGGTTGGCTTTTAACCACAATCCTCAGATCTCAGCCTCCTGAGCAGCTAGGATTACTTTTAACTTATTTTTATAATAATAATAATTACTATGACTATTATTATTATTATTGTTGTATAAACTCAAGGCCTCATGCTTGCTCAGCTTGCTTGCTCTGCCAGCATACTACTCCCTGAACCATGTCTCCAGTTAGGTTTTTTGGTAGTTGTTTTTTGAGAATTTTTCTGAGCTGATTTTAAACCACGATCCTCTGATCTCAGCCTCTTCAGTAGCTAGGATTACAGGCATGAACCACTAGTGCCCAACTGCTTTTCTTTTTCTTTTTCTCTTGTCGGTCATGGGGTTTGAACTCTGGGCTTGGGCGCTGTCTGTGTGCTCTTCAGCTCAAGGCAAGCACTCTACCACTTGAGCCACAGCACCACTTCCAGTTTTCAGTGAAGAGTCTCACTGACTTTCCTGCCCAGGCTGGCTTTGAACCATGATCCTCAGATCTCAGCCTCCTGAGTAGCTAGGATTACAGGTGTGAGCCACCGGCGCCCGGCTTTTATTTTTCTTTATTAAGGAATGTTCTTTAAATTACTTTACTGTATTTGTAGGGCTAATAATCTTTGTTCTAAGTATTTTGGTGTGTTTTTTGAACCTGTCTTCTCCTTGAGTGGTTACTGTCTTCCAAGATACTCATTTATTTTAGTCTCTCAGTTTTGTATTACAACCTTTCAACAGGTGCCTTGGAGGTCCTTGGTATGTCTGCTTGCATTCAAGAAGAGGAGTTAAAATCCTGCCTAGCAGGTCTACATGCACACATGAGTCTGGGAAACCATGAGCATTGATATACTGATCATAGGAAGCCAAAATATTTGGAAGCACAAATAGGCTGATCATAGGAAGCCTCCAATGTTAATACCATTGGGCATCTTGGGTGGGTATCTTCCTTCAATCTCCTGCCTGGAGACTGAAAGCTGAGGTACTATCATCTGGGAACCAAATAAGGGGAGTGGCTGTGTTCTCATCATCCTATGTGCATGTGTTTAACTAGTCATCTTCATTTGCCTTCTCCTGTATCATTTCTTCTCCCAATCCCATCTTCTAATTTCTCTAGGAAATAAGCCTCCTGTAGTTTGCCAGGCTCTGTGGGGGATGCACAAATGGCCCATCTGCTTGGGTTGGCCTGCAATGTAATCCTTCCACTCTCAGCCTTCTGTGTAGCTGAGGATAAACAGGTGCTCAACCATAGGCCCACCTTATGAGTCAAGAAGGGTTCTCTTGAACTGATCCTGTCATTCTCAGCCTTCCAAGCAGCTAGAATATCAGGAGAGGACTAAATAGGGGGAGGACATCCATGAATGTAACTACTTCTAGATGAACCCTAAATCTGACATCCTGTCCATTTATTCACCAAATTGGGTAACCATGAGCATTCTATGGTTGTTTAGCTCTGCACAACATAAAGAAAGACAGTAATAGGCTCTGTTAGTGGGCTAAAAGAGCAGTGTCATTCTAACTGAAATTCCTCTTTATGGGAACATGCAGAGTGGAGAAATTGTTTTATGATAGAAGGTGATATCTCTTAAGACAGTATCAACTTAATAAACTTAATAGCAGATGCTTCAAAAGTGTTATGTTGAATCAGGTGAAATAATCAGCATTTAAAAACGTTAAAATTATGTTCCCATCTTAAGACTGAAAGAAGTAGTGTTACAAGTTATCAATCACTTGACTCTTTAATAAAAACCTTTCTATATCCATCTTCACCTGGAGAAAGGAGTGCTAGTTATAATCACAGCCCTGTTCTAGACTAGTTGGAAGTCCCTGGCTGTTAACTTCTGTCCTGCTTTTAATCTGCACAGCAAGGAGCTGTAGACTAGCTGAACATTAAAAGCATGAAGGTAGAGTTAATACTTGAGTTTCCATACCTAATGAGTTCCTGAGTTGAGCTTACAACCCAGGAGTTTCCCTTCCATAATTTAACATTTTCTACTGTATCCCTTTTAGATGAACTTGAATTGCATTTAGACAAAGTAACTTAGTGGCAACCCAGAAATGATAATTATTTAGGCGTTCAGTGACTATCCCTTGTGCTTCCAAATGTTTTGCTAGCTAATAAGGATAAATATGATATGCTTTTTTCTCTGTGGGAACAAGCAGCCTATGCCCTTCTGTGTTTGCAGTTGTGAGTTACCACCTCAACTACCTTTCAGTATGTCTAGCCTCACTGAGGGCTTCAAATTGATCAGTAGATGAAACCCATACCTTCTTGGCTGCCTTGAAATCATTGAAGTTTTTCCCAAGATGTGAGGAAAACTCATATACCTTTACCTGATGGGACAACCCCATCCAAGACAGGTTCTTACTTTATCCTATGAGTTCTCCAGGTGTCTCAAGAGAAGAAACAGAGTAAGATCTAGAACCATGATGGCCTCATGATGGTTATTCTCTTTATAGGGTGTTTAAGCTGGCATTACTATGTAACTATGCCAATGCCAGCCTCCACCTTCACGATTGCAGTGGGATGCTGGACAGAAGTGAAGCCTGAGGCAGATTCACCAAGTGATCTGGAGGCAGAGAGATCCTTGCCACCTTCTGAGACTGACTTCAGGTTTGTATCTGGGGACTTGCTGAAAAGCAAGCACTTGAGAGAGTGGTATGATGCATTTCTTCCAAGCTCTGGGAATGTGAGTCATCCATGCTAAGAAACTAAACCATAAAAGGATTAATCAAAGCAGGAAAAGGCCTACTGAGAAGGAAAGAGTTCGGAGACAGAAATGTGGCCATGTTATTTGTGCAGAAGGAGGAGGAAATAAGTATATGTGTGATTCTCTGTCAAGTTAAATGAAAAGAACCTTTATATGCAATACTTTTCTTTCTTCCATACCTTTATCTTTGTTTTTAGTGTTTAGCTGGTAAAATATATAACTTAGTAAAAAGAAGGCACTTTTTGATGGATTTGTTGAACACTGGGCCATTTTAGGTTCCAGTGACTGCTGTTAGTGTATTATAAGGAACACTTCATAGGCCTCTTTAGGAATATAAGATACAAAGAAGTTGCCATTTGGTTAAGGAAATCCCACCGAATTAAGGCCTTGTTAACTTTGGTAATTGTTTCTTTTTTTTTTCTAGAACGAATAAGAGAAATCAGTTTGAGGAAATTGAAAATTAGTATAAGCCATTGGATATTCCCTTGTTACCTCCCCAGATTTTCTTGTTTCTAACCTTGAGAGGTAGAGACAGAAACAGAGACAGAGAGAGGACACTGTACAGAAGGAGTACAGAAGTATGCATCTTGCTTCATTCCTAGAACTTTTATCTCTAGCTCAGTTAAATCATTTTTCCCTCTTACAGGAAGTCACTACATAACATCTGGTGGAGGCAGTCCAGATCCATGGTATAAATGATTAGTTCATTGTTGAACACCAACTAGTACAACCTCTTAGGACAAGTTCCTCTTATATTTGATTTTATTTTGCCACGTCCTTAGTATATTTGCCATATCATTAGGACATAAAGCCGTATTCATTCTCTTCTGTCTTACTTCCCACATTTTGCTTTTTCGGCAGAAAGGAGCATGTGTGCGCACATGCATGTGTCCTTTTGAAAAAAAGAGAAAATTGCAGACAGAAATGGCATATGCTCCTTTATATGGGAACATTGAATTACACGTGAGACCCTCTAATGCTCTTTTCTTCTGCATTAGGACCACAGAGAAGGCTCCATTTTGTGATTATGGGTAGCCTGAATTTCTGAGTGAGGAACATAAGTGCACTTAGCAAGTCATGTGAATCCATAGTAGACTTGATATGAGTGAGACATAAACCTCCTTGTGGTGAGTCATTCAAAGTTGGGTTGTTTGTTATTGCAGCATATCCTAGCCAAAATTATATATACTGACTAATAATAACTGTATGCACACATGCCTAACCCCTTAGAGAGGTGATTGTGAGTTTTACCAGAGAGTTCAAAAATAATAAAAAAAATAAGCTGGGAGCTAAAGTGTCTCATGTCTATAATCTTAGGTACTTATGAGGCTGAGACCCAAGTATCATCGTTTGAAGCTAGCCCAGGCAGACGAATTCATTAGACTCTTATCTCCAATTAACCAGCAAAAAGTCAGAACTAGAGGCATGGATCTAGTGTTAGAGTATCATCAATGGGCAAAAAAAAAAAAAAAAAACTGAGCAAAAATGCAAGACCCTGAGTTCAAGCCCCACTACCCGTACAAACAAAACAGAAGAATTTCCTAAGATACCATTTGAGCCACCCCCCTTCCAGATACTCTCTTGTCATGGTTGAGTCAATGATTTTGACTAGAGTAGGTCATCAGAAAACAAAATTTAAGAGCCTTTGAGTTTGAGGATGCCATTATAAAGATGGCATCCAACCAGTAAATGGTTGGATAGCACCTTTGGGGTAAAGGCTACAATTTTTTTTTTTGTAAAATGAAGACTTTTTCATGAATTTTCAAATTCTTCATGGTGAAGTAGTATTTTTGTTAACTTGTGGATTATTAAGGATCTATGCTGCTTACCAAACAGTTATTTTCCCCTTCTATTCTTGTTCTCAAGAGATTCAGGACAGGGTCTGAACAGCCACATTTTCTTTGTGTTCTCTCAGCCCAAAGCAACTGGAATGGCTTTTCATTTGTCTTGTGTTTGATTATTTTGAATAGAGGCAGACATGGTTACATCAAATGAGGACTTTGAGAGGATATATGCCCAGGATTTCTGTTGGGGTTTTGGAGAAAGGGTAATGCTATTCCTCTCTTGTCTCCTTATATTCAGAACCAGCTGAAAGAAGAAAAGACAGAAAAATAAGTTTGATTATTAACAAAAGCTTGTACTGAGGGAATGCCCCATTGCATGTTCTAAATGGGTTTTCTAATATTTCATTTCCACAGTAGACCAATTTCCCCACTTAGTTACTACGAACCCATCTAAACTGGCTGGCTGCTAGCCTCCCTAGCACAAATGTTCAGCCTAACACAGGACAAAGGGCAGGCCCCAAAGGATCCAATGTGTGTGCAAATAGGTCCAAAGAAACTATTCCAGAGTGCTAAACAATGAGGGAAGCTAGGGGAGAGGTCGAGTATGCCTTTCCAAGGAAGTGCATTTTTGTAGAATTATAGAACCTGCAGAATAGGCTCCTTTATTGTTCCCTTCCATGTCTGACTTATGGCTTTTCTTCATTTACAACATACTTACTTGTCCATCAGAAACGTACTGCTGAAAAAATAATAATTTAGCTGGGCGCCAGTGGCTCATGCCTGTAATCTTACTTACTCAGGAGACTGAGATCTGAGGATCATGGTTCAAAGCCAGCCTGGGCAGGAAAGTCCATGAGACTCCTATGTTCAATTAACCACCAGAAAACCGGAAGTGGCACTATGGCTCAAGTGGTAGAGTGCTAGCCTTGAGCTGAAGAGCTGAGGGACAGTACCCAGGCCCAGAGTTCAAGCCCCACAACCAACAAAATAATAATAATAATTTATATTTGCTTAATCCCGGTGTGGTTTCATGTTTCATATGTGTCATCTTTAGCTGTCAGAAAGTGTTTCTCTGTTTTTATCCACAAAATCTCTGACTCGATGCTAGTTTGACAACAGAGGTGCTCTGAAGTGCCAATCGCCATAGTGTTTTTACTTATGTTCACATCTGGTCCCCCCTTGCTTTTCCACCCCCTTCCTACTTGAAACCTTCCTAGTTCAATTCATGTAAATCTAACTTTTATAGGGGCCTTATATACTACAGGCTTTCAGTTGCCTAAAGTACTCATCTGGGTTCCAGAAATTTGGCCAAAGGATTGGTCAGTATTCATGTGGGCTAAATTATAAGACATTCCTTCTCCAGTGCCAGTTTCACACATGGTCTAGTCCACTCTGAGTGAGCATTTTAGTAAATGCATTAGCTATAAGGCACTCAGATAAACGATCCAAAGCTTATTAATATATTCAGCCTCAGTCATGGGGAGATCTTCTCAAGGCCTTTTTTGGGGGCTATACAGCATCATCATGACATGGAAACTTGGAGAAAGTCCAGAGGGAACCAGCAAAAATGATCAAAGGCGCAGAAAATGAGCATTGTGAAAAAGGCAAAAGGCTTTAATCTTATTTATTCTAAAAAGAAGACTTGATGGGAGAAGGGGTTATCTTTAGAGTTGTAAAGACTAGCAAAATTGCTAGAAAAGGAAAAGACTTTGAGTTGATGATAGATGTGGAAGACTTACTTGTTTTTTTGTTTATTATTTACTAGTGCTGGGGTTTGAACTCAGGGTCTCTTACCTCTTCACAGACAAGACCATTGGACAATGAGTTGGCTTGTGTAACAAATTGTGGTAGAGTCTTAGCACAAGAAGAAACCTTAAAAACTATTTTAGTTTTGCTTTACTTATTTCTAATTATAGTATAATTGACATACATCCAATGTGCAGGCCTTAAGTATTTGGCTTAAATTTTTGTGACCATTGTATACATCCTAAACCAGACAATATTTTGTCACTCCAGGAATTTCCCTTCTACGTCTTTCAAGTCAATCCCTTCCCTCTCTGGGAAGCCACTTTGGTGAGACTGTGGGAGACAAGAAGAAAAACAGGTCCTAGATACTGAGTTACATGGCTCTGTTCATAGTCTGAGGACAGCCATGGAAGCCCAAGCTTTCGAGTCCCCATTTAGGGGACCCACAGGTGGGCTTCTCTCAACAAATTTCTTTTTTTTTTTTGGGTCCGGGTAGTGGGGCCTGAACTCTGGGTCTGGGCGCTGTCCCTCAGCTCTTCAGCTCAAGGCTAGCGCTCTACCATTTGAGCCACAGCACCACTTCCAGCTCTTTTTTTCTGCTTATATGGTGCTGAGGAATTGAACCCAGGGCCTCAGGCATGCAAGGCAAGCGCTCTACCACTGAGCCACCATCCCAGCCCATTCTCTCAACAAATTTCTATGTGTCTCTTGCCCATAGCTTGATTGCCTTTAAAGTCTTGTCCCTTCTCTTACACTTTGATTATGGAAAAGTAGTGCTAATTTCCATAATTGGCATCATCTTCATTTGGTAAGATGTGCCATACATGTCCAGAAATAATCTAATTCACCTTTCCTTCTAAACAAATGGTAAGCATGTCTTTTCTCCTGAACAGATGGGTTGGGGGACGAGAGAGAGGGGTGTGTGTGTGTGTGTGTGTGTGTGTGTGCCTTTGGTGTTCTTGTTTGTAACAAGTAAACTTGCTTCCTGATAATAGCCTATGTGTTTCTAAATGGAATGCCTTTTTACAGTATGGCTGCACTTTGTCCACATGCCTGCATACCTCTGGCATCTCTATTCATTTTTTTGTTGTTGTTGTTGGTCATGGGGCTTGAACTCTGGGCCTGGACACTGTCCCTCAGCTCTTCAGCTCAAGACAAGCACTCTACCGCTTGAGCCACAGCGCCACTTCAAGTTTTCTGGTGGTTTATTGGAGATAAGAGTCTCACGGACTTTCCTGCCCAGACTGGCTTTGAACCGTGATCCTCAGATTTCAGCCTCCTAAGTAGCTAGGGTTACAGGCGTGAGCCACTGGCGCCCAGAGGCATCTCTAGTCTTTAACATCCTCTGAAAGCCTTGCAACAGACTATATAGGTGCTTAAATTATAGTTGCACATTATGTTCCTGTGTGAACACATTAGAAAAAGCTACCAAGGTAGTGCCTTCACGGAGCAGCCCTTTCTACTTTAAGAAACACAAATAATGCACACATGTAATGAAATGTTTACCAGTAGGCACCTTTGTTCACTCCGCACCACAAAGCAAAATTACCAGTCTATAGATTTTGGTTGTGATTCAATTCTTCCTGTCACTTTATCCTGGCAGAAGTTTTTTATTTCCATCTATTTTTTTTTCTTTACCCTTCCAGCAATGAAGCATACTGAAACTTTGTTTCTTGAAGTACTCTAGTACAGGGTAAGGCTTATTTACATAGTCATGTGGATCTCCTGAGCACAGGCCTTGGACAGGTGGAAGAGTTTATAGATCTGAACAGGAACTGTCATTGCAGCCTGCTCTGTGCTAGAATAGACCAACATTTAAAGGTTCTTCAGTATTCGCTGTGAATCACATGAACACCTACAGTTAGAATTTTAATTTATAATTTAAAGTTAGAGGAGCTTTCCATTGTGTTTGAATAAAGGATATGTTCACAGGTGAAAAAATAGAGTTCCCTTTGATGTCTCTTTCTTTGGATAGATTGGTTCCCCTGAGGCCTGTGAGTCAGGTTCTAGGAATTCATTTTTCAGCTCCGCCTTTGCCTTTCAGGGAAAAACAGCAGTAATCAGATGTTGCTGGCTGGGCTCTGGTCTGTTTCCTTACAAGACTGACTTGGTTAAATTATATTTAAAGTAGATTGGAGAAAATATCACAGCAAACATGAAGCTCAGGTGCCAGTGGCTTAAACCTGTAATCCTTGCTACTCAGGAGGCTGAGACCTAGATGGCGAATTAATTAGAAGCCAGCTAAAGCAGGAAAGTCTGTGAGACTCCTAATCACCAATTAACCACCAAAAAGCTGAAGTGGAAATGTGGTCAGGGCAGTCTTGAATGAAAAAAGATAAGAGACAGTGTCCAGGCCCTAAGTTCGAGCCCCAGTACTTGCACAGACATACACAAAAATGCCTCTAGCCAAGCACCAGTGGCTCATACCTACAATTGTAACTACTCAGAAGGCCGAGATCTGGAGGATTGTGATTCAAAACTAGCCCAGTGAAGAAAAGTACATGAGACTTGATCCCCAAAATAACCAGCAAAAGGCCAGGCTGGCTGTATGGCAGAGTGCCAACCAATCCACCAAGCAGCGCAAGTTTGAGGCCTTTAGTTCAAACCTCACTACTGTTGGGGGTGGGAGGGAAGCCTCTATAATCCTTTAAAAAAAAAAAAACCTAGATAACTTTTCAGTAAAATACTTTGACTTCTTTGGAAAAGTTTGTGCCTATAGGTTTGTTTTGTTTATTGTAACTCATACCAAGTATTTCACTCTAAAAAAAAATTCCAGAATAGGGTCTTTTTTTGGTTTTATTTTTTAAAAATTTTTTGGGTCAGTTGTGGGGCTTGAAATCTGGGCCTGGGTGCTGTCCCTCAGCTCTTCAGCTCAAGGCTAGCACTCTACCACTTGAGCCACAGCGCCACTTCCAGTTTTCTGGTGGTTTATTGGAGATAAGAGTCTCACAGACCTTCCTGCCCAGGCTGGCTTTGAACCATGATCCTCAGATCTGAGTAGCTAAGATTACAGGCATGAACCACCAGCGCCTGGCTCAGAATAGGGTCTTTAATTTGCTGTTCCATTTTCCTTTCTGAATTATCAATTGTCCTTTACTTGGAGAAGATTTTCCATGGTGATATTTAAGAGCACATTACAGAGAGCAGAAATTGCTTTTAGTTGGATACAAAGTAGTTTTATTGTTTTAAGTCTTGGGTCTTCCCTGCCCCTACCTAGTTTATCTAAAACAAGATTGTATTTCTTTCACAGCTTAGATTGGACTTACTCAGCTTCAATATGTATTTTGATCAGTTCATAATTTTTCACTGCTATCAGAAACAGAGATGCCAAAGATTCTTATCAGCATATCTGAACCACTGTCTCCTAAAAGTTATCTATGTCTGTAGGAGTTCCTTACTGCACTACGAGAAGAATAAACATGATTTCACATTAAATAAATCTGTTTTGTCCTCTATGTTTCCAGATACATTGATGTTTGCAGTCACATGGAATACCCCTGCCGCTTCCAGTGTGCCTCTGCCATCACCCAGGAGATCATTCCTCATCGAGTCTTTGCACCAGTATGCCTCAAGGATGCCTGCCAAGAGACCCTACTACCACTGATCCCACTTTGTCTCTCAGCTGCACATTCTGTCCTAGGAACACATCCTTTCTCCAGGCTGGATATACTTATCGTCCCTGCCAACTTTCCAAGTCTGGGGATGGCCAGGTATGTTCTTCTGTTGTGACATTTAAGTACATGCTTTAGAAATTCTTGGAGTATTTCTTGTACTGCTTGAGCTCTGTGAGAACTGGAATTTGATTAGAATAGAAAGGCCTTGGTAAGTCTTGGACACTTACTGCTGCCTTTAGTGACAGTTTTTGAGCAGATTCTATTGAATGTGAGCCTATAGGTGCCATGGGTTCAGTCTAAGTTGCTTTGAAAACGAAAAGCTCATGTTGTGGCTGGAATTAAGAACACATTGAGCTCCCAGAGTGATGTATGTTGGGTCATGGCTGATCAGTGGCTGTTAGCTTAGTGATGAGAGCATAATGTTAATGAGTCCAAGGTCATAGCATCAGACTTTGGGCATAGTAACATGACCTGGTCCCAAGGCCACAAACTGCTCAACTAATCCTGACCAGCTGTCTCATCTATTCTCACCACTGGTCACAAGGCAATGACTTGAGAGCCTCTGTATGAGAGAGACTGGCTGGATCGGTGTAAATCCATCCTCACTGCTAGAAAAACAGCTAAAAGCAGATGGCTTACACCGCGTTCTTGTTGGGAATTACTTGTCTTGCTATATACTACTTTTTAATACAGTGAATGCCTTCTTATTGTGTCTTGGTTTAGTTCTTACAGAAAATCAAGACATGCAAGTTGAACGCTTCCCTGTGTATTGTTTTTAGTTAAAACCCCTTCACGAACATTATTATTCATTCAGTAGAGGCTAGTTCCACTGAGAAAAGATAAAGTACTCAGTTTTCTTTGGTTATATTTCTATTTTCAAATCTTAATCATTAACAGTGAATATGCTTGACTAAGGATGGGAAAAATAAGCTCATCAAAACATTCAACTTTAAGTTTTTCCCTATTAGTCAAGGAAATTCCTGGTGCCAATTAATTTCCATGCTTTTGAACAGCTGTCATTTGTGGTGTTTTCTCTGAAAACTGCACACATTCTTAGTAAAACTCATGAGTTAAAAAGAACTGACCAGAACATTTGCTTTTGATCTTTACTACATACACACACTTTTTAAAAGCTGGCTGGCTTGCCTTAATCTTTGAGGAGGTCTGAGAAAGTCATTTAGACTGATTTTTATCCTATATTTATAAAGAAAATGGGAATGTAGAAACTAGGATAATTACATATATTTGGTTACATACATCTTATAATTGTCTTTGGTGTCTATATATAGGATTTGTCTTAACAAGGGGGCTTCTTTGGTTCCTTTGAAGAGTCTCCTGGACTTAATTTAAGCAGTTATTGGTGAAGAAAGGGTTGTTCATTAAATGTTTCTCATTTGTATACAGTTTTGAGGGGAGTTTTTAGCACTTTATGAGAGAGCTGTAGTCTTTCAGAGCATGTTTGCTAACAGCTCCACATTCTGGCCTGAGGGAACCAAAAGCATAGTATTTTTTGTACACAGAACCTGATTTTCTATAGCTCCTTCCTGACATAAGTCTGCCTAAACCAGAATTTGATGACCTCCAGGCCATTCTATAAAGCTTCTTTTTTCAAGTGTACATGTCCAAGCAGGTAGGCTGTATGTCTGCTGCCTTTTGAGATATTTAAAGTGATTTAAATGTACTTAACTCTATATTTTTAAAGTAGTAAGCCTAAGTACCTAAAAGCCAAATGGTACTGGGCACAAATGTCAAAAAACATGGGATTGTGATAATAACATACCAGCAACAAGACTGCGATTATGCTTAAAAACCAGGAGAGGTGTACATTTAAAAATATGTGGTTGCTTGTCAAATGTCTCCCCACACACAGACACACACACACACACACACACACTCCCTTTTTTAAAACTGTGGAAATAAAATGTGCCCTGGTCTAGATGTTTTCCTGAACTTCATTACTGTTCTCTGGATTTGAACTGTGGAAGAGGTATTATGGTATCTTCCACTGCCAGTTAGAGTCGGGAAGTGGGGGAAGGGGTGTTCTGTTTTTCCAAACTCTGACTTAAATTGATCCCACTTGCTTGGCTTGACTCTCTTGGGATCCCAACACCTTGAGCCACATGCAGCTGAGTGGGGTTTATGACTCAGCTGGCTATGAGGGCCCTGCTGCTTTATTTATGGTTACAGCTTTGCTTGAGGTTCTAGTGAGCAAAAGCTAGAACAAAATGACAGTCCCGTAGATCAACTCTTAACAGGAAGAGAAACTCCCAAACTAGGGGGAGCCCTCCAAAAAGATCCCCTCCCACTGAAACTCGTCTTTGCTTTGTTAGTTATAATATGCTGAGAGATGAAAGGATTTCTTGGCAAACTTATTCTTTCCCAAGCCCAGGCTTTATAAACATGAATGCAAGATCATTAAACTCCATACCTTTGGACTTCACTAGTGATTAGGTCTTAATTATAATGAATACCATTTTATATCATTTTCATATTTTCTTTTGGCAAATAACATTCAACATTCCTACATGAACTAAAATGTGCAAATCATTATTAACTCATTAAAGGATTTAAAAAATTTCAGATAATATCCATAATGACTTCACTATTTGTTAAATATTATGTGTCATACTTTGTATGAGCATACTTAAAACTCCGCTATTTTGATTCTGTTTTTCGAGCCTAATATGTTATTTCAGCAAAGGAGGAGAAAAAACACATTGTATAACTTGAATGTATGATGATGACAAATCAATTTATAAGAAGGTAAGTTATATACAATGTTTTAGAATTTGGGCTGGTTTTCAGGTATAGCAGTAATAGAATTACTTATCTGTGCTGAATTATGTGATCTTTGTTACCTTTTTTTTTATTTTTCTTTTGTGCTGGTCCTGGAGCTTGAACTCAGAGCCTAGGAACTGTCTCTGAGCTACCATTCTACCACTTGAGCCATAGCTTCACTTCCAGCTTTTTTCTCTTTGTTTCTTCCTTCCTTCCTTTCTTCAGTTTTCTCTTTTCCTTTCTTTCTCTGATAAGAGTCTCTTTTCTTTCGTTTCCTTTTCTTCCAGAATAAGAGTCTCCAACCCTTTCCTGCCTGGGCTGGCTTTGAATTATGATTCTCAGATCTCAGCCTCCTGAGTTCTTAAGATACAGACGTGAGCCACTGGCTACCTGGCATCTTTGTTACTTTCTAATTTGACAAAAGTCATTACTGATTGACCTCCATCTCCACTGATAACCCTTTTCATTCTATTCTGAATCTTAGAAAAATGATTAATTTGCCTTAAAATATTGATTTTTTCCATTCCCATACTTTTCTCATTTGGTATGTATGGGCTGTTTTCATTTTGTTTTGTTTTTGCGTTCCGTGAAGACTGAATCTGTTTTATCAGGATCTGAAAAGTAAATGTTTCTTGGACTGAGAATGATAATGCCTATATGAAGACATGAATGCAGCTCTCTTCCTGTTGTTATAATTAATAGTCTGTCATTTTTAATGTGACCTGTTAAAGTTCCAGTGTCTCAGGTAAAGTTTGAGTAGCAAACTAATATTGAAAAATAGCTGAAAGGAACTCATCGTCACGTTTACTCTTTGTTATAACAGCAATAATGTTAATGGAATAATATCCTGGAACCAGATTTATGACAGTTGCTTAAAAATTAGCACCTCAGTCTTACTCTGTATGTGTTTATAATAAACGCTTTGCTTCACCATTTATCTTTCAGCAGTTCACAATTACATGTCACGAGGCATAATTAGGTTGGCAGAACTACCTTGCTGACATCCAAATACGCATGTTCTCCTTAGTTTCTTGTTTTTGAATTACAACAATCTCCTGCAAATGATTTCAGAGTGGTGGTTTTCTGTTTAATTCACAGGGGGAAAAAGCCCTATAACCCTGATTTCCAGCTTGATCCTTCATATGATCTTTGCCCTTGATCCTACTGGGGAAATTGTGTGTTGGGGGGGAGAAGGGAATGGCAGCAGGGTGGTTAATGGTAGGCAACAAATCCTGTTTTGACCTCTTTTCCACTGGTTCTGTACCAGCCTGACTTGCTCTAATATTAGTTCACTTTAGATTTATTGATTCAATTATTCAATCTTACAATGTATCTCCTCCTCTTCCTCCTCCTCCACACCTCCTCCTCCTCCTCCTCTTTTTCCTCCTCCTCCTCCTTCTTGTACTTTTTTGAGACAAACTCTGAGCCCCACCCTTAGCTTGCTTGATTGTATAGAGTCCTACCACTTGAAACACACCTCTAGGCCTGCTTTTTACTGGTTATTTTGGAGACCAGTTCTCATGGACTTTTCTGCCAAAACTGGTCTTGAACCTCCATTCTCTGGATTTTAGCCTCCTAAATAGTTGGGATTATAGGCATGAACAACCAGTACCCAGCTTTACTCTCACAATAAATTTTTATCAAGCACATATTATCAGGTATCACTTAAGATGTTGAGGCAATAAAAGTGAACCAGCAAGATGAGGTTTCTGTCTTCATGCAATAGACTTTCTAGTCAGGGGAGAAAACAACACACACACACACACACACACACACACATACTTAAGATGGTGTTGTGAAGAAAATAAGACCAAATAAATGACAAATCAGTACTATAGCTCGGGTGGAGTTGGGTCATCAGAGCTAACCTACACTTCTGTGTGAGAAAGAGAAGAGAGAAAGATGGTAGGAAATGGCAAAGAGAGATTTGAGTCCAAGCTGCTCACTACAGTCAGTAAGGGGCTGTGGGTAAGAGCCAGGGAAGTCTAGTTTTGTCTTAGTTTTCTTGGGATTATAGTTATCACACTGTCTCATGACCCAGTAGTTAAAATTGATTGGCTTACCAACTGCTATCCTTTACCAGAATTCTCCATTGCTGGAACTATCAAAACACTTGGCTCCCAGACTAGCAACTCTCCTTTTGTAGAGAAGAGAGAAGTTTCAAATCACTCTTTTTCTCCCTTATGGATTCTGATTGAGTCTTTGTAGGCTATTTTGATACAATGGGTCATAAAGAGGGAAGCTGTGTTTGTGCATTTGCTCATCCTAGGTTTAAAGTTTAAAATAATTTTGTAACCTCATCTTCATTGTTCACTCTT